TGAAATAAAATATAGACGTCATTACAGATTTCCCAAGATAACGCACCTACCTACATTAAATATTTAGTATTTTGTTTACATATTTACCTAACTTCATCAGTTAATCCACTACTTGTTTTATGGAATCAATCAACCGTTTCGTGTTTGGAAAATATTTACGCAACCAAGTATTGTGAACTAAGCAATTTTCTTACATTTTAAACATGAATAAGAATCAAAGTAGGCGTATCGAAAAATAAAAAAAAAATAAAAAAAATAACCGTTGAAGAAGAAATTATACATAGGTTAATTAACTAAAAGGTTCCTGGATAATTAACCATTTTTTTGTCGGCGCTTTATTTTTAATTTTCCACAGCGTTATTTATTTAATTTAAATAATTGAATGCGTATTAGTAATACGAGTATATTATGTTAATTTGTATTTATATTTTCGAAACGTTTCTTTGTTTATACGCAACAGCATCAACTTAAAAACGCATTATCTTCATATACTCAACTATATTATGCATATTTTCTCTCTCTCTTAAAACTGATGACACTAAAACTACTTTTCAGTTTTTGTGTTCATTTTCTGAGATTTTAATGTATACAAAATAATTAAATAAGAATAGCCATGTATATGAAGTTCAAATTCGATCCCAAATAATATTAATATGTTAAACTAACTGGATATAAAAATAAGTACAGTTTATATAGTCAAATAAAAAATAAATTTGAATAGGGTTTTCAACACAGCAGGTACATTACAGTTACATGAGTGTAATATTTATTTTGTTGACTGGTCTATACAATATTTTATAGAACATCGTAATCGCGTTTAATGTCTCGTTTTTCAATAAACAGTATATAGTATCAAAACAGTTACATTATGCGAAATTTAAACAGTTTAACCTTTAGATTAAATTTCGTGTAAATACTATCACGATTCTTGACCAGATATATAAAAGACTGCAGTTTCCCTTGAAGCCCGCATAGCCTTTTTGTAAAATATTATCTTACATCTCTAAATAGTACCTATATTATATAGTTACTAAAGCCTCGGTGTCTGCAGCAGTATGAAAGAGTAAAAAACCTAAAACGCTAGTAACTTATTTGTTAGACAATATTTTTTGTACAAAATAAAAATAATAAAATAATAAAACGTATATAATAATAATAATAATAATAAAATGTCCTCGGAAATAGCATTCCCTCTAAATCTGAAAATGGTCGTTTAAACTTTAGATTTAACCTAAATATCCATAACTTACACTCTGTGTTCAGCCATTTAGCAACATTGCCTGCGTGTTATAGACAAAGACAGTGGACCACTGATATTAAATAATTTAAATGATAGTTATTTAAAATTTCAGAATAAATATTACATTTGTATTTATGAATTGCACCACAAGTAAATAAATTTACCCATACAGAAACTTCTATATATACATATAGATTTAACCGGTCGCACTCATATTTTAGTTTGGAATAATATATAATTTAATATAGGTAATCATATTGTTTATATTATAATGGGCTGTAAAATGGTTTATCTAATAAAATCAAAATACATGGAAGTTTGAAAACTATTCTGCTCAAACTTTACGGTTTATTATCTTTATATATACACTCTCACTTGAGTTGCGATTCACCTAAAACTATATCATTGAGATGATGGTAGTCTTTGAACAAACTTAAATATACGTTTATTTCCTATTGTAAAACTACATCGGAATATATTATTATTTGTTTTGGGGAAATTGCCAAACACTTTCGTGTTTAAAGACTTTAAAATCGATTAAAATTGCTCGTGGTTGTTAAATAAACAGTTTTTCTATTATCTCTTCCAGCTTGTGTTATAATGAAACCGTGCGGAATATTATATAAACTTTAAAATGATAATACAACCAATTAAAAATCTAAATCTCTACAAAAATCTCTTGCGTATGGCTGAATGATTAGAGTTGTCTTTCAAAATAATTTCCTAACCTACCCCATATATAGTCACATAACTATACTAATTTTACTTATTTAGTTAATTAGAAGTGAATTAAACTAAGATTACTTTTAACTATAAAAGTAGTTGCACGTGATTTTAAATCCCCCCACGTAATAAACAATTAATCCAACATTTCTTTATCTATAAACTTAACACACGAGCTCGCTGTAGCGTGATTCATTGACTTTTATAAAGATTTGGAATCAGGAACATGATGGAAATCAATTGCCTAACCTTCTACCGACTGTTTATTTGATGGCAAATTTTTTTCTTAAAACAATCTTTCGTTTGGAAACTATTTGTTTTACATGTAATATATAATCGTATTATTTGATAATAATCGATAATTTTCGTAAGAAATAAATTGCCAGTCGACAAACCGGTATTATAATAGTTATATGAGAAAATATTATTTTCATAAATTATCTACAATTTGGTTTAATGTATTTTGAAATACCATGCTATTACGATTCTCGTCAAAATTTGAACTTAAAATTTTAAGCTTATATATATAAAAAAAAAAAAAATATACTAGTTGTCTAAGAACATTTTTGAGTAAATTTTAGGTCTCTATGAATTTTTAATCCAATAAAAACAGAAAACCAAAATCAAAAATCATGGTTTTATTAACGGTTTCATAAACCGTCTTTCCCAATTAGGATAAAAATTATAAAAAAAAAAAAATCGAAATTTTGGAATCAAATATCGTTAATTTTATGAAAATATTTCCTTTTACTAAATGGATATAGATAATATACATTTTAGCATAGTATAATTCTTCCAACATTTAGTTATTCATTAATTGTGTGAAGTAAAATTGTTATATAGGTATTTACAGTACCACAGCAATTGGGCGTCAAAAACCAAAAGCTTAAATTCAAAATGGTATTTATCTTCCATGTAATGAATATTTTTGACTTCGTAGATACTTTAAAAGTTTAAAAAGATGTATTTCAAACATAAATAGTGGATATAAATGTACGAGTAGTAAATAATCGTAATTTTATCGTACTATCGTATTAAATTCAAAAGTTATCTATTTTTCGAGCAAAACTTGTTTATAACAAAATTGCGTTTTGGTTATTTAATTATGAAATATAATCTTATTAAAATGCATACATATGTCGTAGGCTATATAGAAACCAAAGTCTTTTTGCGAAAAGACTTGGCATTTTGCATTGGGGTAGCCCGTTTGCGAACTACTTATTATTTTTCCAAAAGACCTACTGTTTTTCAGGCTTATTGCCTACAAACTAACAGCAGTTAGGCCTTTTAAAAACTACAATTGGTAATAACCATTTTACTTATTTTATTAACTGAATAGTCTGAATAAGTATCATACTTATTATATAGTATTATATTTATTTTATAAACTGTATCAATGGCGAGTATCAATGAAGTTTAAATTTGTTTAAAGTTTTTAGCTATTGTATTACTAGTTTTATTTTACATTACTATAAAAAAGAAAATATGTAAAATATTTACTTATTGTTACATGTGGTTTTTCGTGTTACATTTTTCATTTATATTTATAAATTAAAATTAAATAAAATATATTTATTATATTTATAAATATAATACTATAATGTTTAATACCATATAATAATATATTAATATATATTTATTCAATTTACATGTTATAATAATTCTACTGATCGTATTTTTTTCTAAAAGTAATAAATTACCCTTAAAATAAAATAAATAAAATGGTTTTTATCAATTGTAGTTCTTAAAAGGCCTAACTGCTGTTAGTCTGTATGCAATAAGCCTGAAAACAGTAGGTCGTCTAGAAAAATAATAAGTAGTTCGCAAACGGGCTACCCCAATGCAAAGAGGATAATTTTCCATATGGCCTACGACATATATATATATATATATATATTTATGTGTTTAAATATTCTTTCAAATTCATAAGATAATAAGCTTGTTTAGAGTATACGAGGGAAGCATAGCCTCCGACTCCCCAACGCCCCTACCAAATAGAAACACACTCAATACATATAATTAATAATAATTTTGGACTATTTGCGCCTATGCTTGTTGTGTTATTTATACAATTTATTATATAATGTACTTAAAATATTGAAACATTGAAAGTACCAAACCAATTTAGATTCCGTAAGAATTTCAATGTCAAAAAACTGCTAAATAACTATATACGATAGTCAAGTAACAGGCAACTGTCAAATAAGGAATATGACTTTGAATTTGAGTAAACCTCAAAATATAGAGTATATTTTTCAAAAGACATAACATAGAAAACTGACTGAAGGCTAAAAGACTAGAGTGGGCCGATTATGTTTGGCGAGCAAATGATAAACTAGTAGTCATAGTGTCAATAAACCGAGCGTAAAGAGACCGAAAAGTTCACCACGCCGGAAATGAGTTGATAGAGTGAACAACGACTTGAAAAGTCTAGGAACGACGGAATTGAAAATACGGGTGATTGAGAACAATGTAGAGACTTGATGGAAGCGATAGGCCTTTATAAGGAAAAAAAACCATCGGAATTCGCATTATGGTTGCAGCACTGCAGGGTAACTATTTATATACCTACTTAATAACTTATACCACTCGTTCAATGCGCGACGATTATATATCTTAAATTAAAAATGAGTAAAATGTGTTGATTTTATAGTGTAGTTTTTTATCAGAAATTTTACTCCGATTTTCAAGTGTAGTACTTTTTCTGAAAAAAAAAAAAACTTGACTGGGGTATTATTTGGTTGCCATTTTTTTAATTTTCCCGGGAGTTTTCATAATAAACAGGAGAAATCGGAGAAAATATAGAAAAATAGAGAGAAAATATAGAAAAAACGGGAAAATTTACGAGATTTAATGTATTATTTTCAAATCGTAAATAGTACAGCCTCTCAAAATAATACGCATAAACGAACTCCGCTCAGAACAGTTTTTCGTCAGCAATGGTTAATCGTTGCGGACAAATGTACATTAAATTTACCCTCTATACCTTCCCAGCTTTCACCTACAACAGTAGCCCGCCCATCGTGCGGAGTATGGCCGTTTGTTTGGTATTTTTTTTTCTTTGTTCATTAGTGGCCAGTAGCGAAATGCGCGAAAAAATTTAATAAGGCACAAAGTCGCAGTCGCGGCCACAGCACATCGTATAACAATTAATTATTACGATCTCGTGTTCTCACATCATCGCATCATTGAGGGATATAGAAGAGTGGCGGAGGAGTGGCGCAAGTCGATAGTCGATAGAGCACCGCTCGTTTCCGCACATAACAATAATAAACATAAATCTCCGCAGCAGGACTAATCGAATTCTGTCGTACGATTATTATTATTAGGTATACTGGCTGTTATTGCGGCAACAATAAGAATATTATCACGTTCCGTTTTTACCCGTCGTCGATCGTAAATTATCGTTAACGCGTTGTCGTGGCGTACCTACATTCCGAACGATCCGTTTTAATAATCTCATACGGCGCGTTGTTGTTTTCTTTTCCTTTTTTTTTTTTTTTTTAGATTCTGAGCGCGGCCGTATTGGTTTATTACCTACTGTATATAAGGTGTTTTCGTATTATTTTTCTCCCTGCGCGCGCGAAACAATAAATTACGTTTTCAACCAGAAGACTAGCTCCGATCGAGAACTTCGCGGGAGCTTTATTCGTAAACGGCGAGGGGGGAAGGGGAGTGAGACGGAAGAGGAGGTCCTAACCGTTCGTATAGATCATTTTTGTTTTCGTGCACTTTAAAAGCCCATTTCGTATACGAAATAAATAACGACGTATCTTTTACGTACATACTCTTGTTCCGCGTTTGTCTGTTGATCGTAATTATAATATATTACATCGAATCGCGACCCACCAGATTTAATTTATAGGTCGGTGTACCGATTTTATTCAGAATTCATTATACGGAACACTATGGTCGAGACTTTTCGCTTTTATTAACGTATACATATTTATTTAACCCTTCGCCACCAACGGTACGTCCAAAAATTAATTCGCCTCCGGCCGCAAAACAACACCTCGGTCATGATTTTAATGTTGCTGTTAACGCGTGTTAACACATTTGTTACATAATTTATACCTCTACACACTGTAGGTAGAATTCAATAATTATAATTATTTTCTTTTATATTATAATTAACATCATTGGCAAACTTTCTCGTTCGCGAAATATAATAATATTATATACAGTACAATTTGATTTTAGACCCTGGCAAGAAGGGCTAAAGTCAATTTTTTTTTTATTAAGTACCTAATTTTGTCCCTTTATATTTTGGCCTAACACGTGTTATACTTAAAATTAAAACATCGTATGTCATTATGTTTTTTTTTTGCAACAAATGCATAAGTCTTATTGTCATACGAGGTAATTTAGCCATTTATCGATTTTCGAAATCGAATTTTGTTTGTGTTGAAAATGCGAAATTTACTTTAGCCCTAATAGCTAAATATATAGTGTAGTACATTGTCATTATTGATAAATAAAATAATATTAAGTCGGAGGAAGAGGAACAGATCCAGGGATAAAGAAGGGTCCCAACCTGGAACGATTCTCCGATATACCATTTCAGTAAAAGTAAAAAATCGTACAAATTTGTATAAATTATAATTGTACGTATATATAATATTAAATTATGTATACAAGGCAAGTTAGTTTTAGATATTTGAACGTAATTTAATATGTTTTATTAGAATTTGTAATTTTTGAGAATAACCCCCCCCCCCCTTTGGCCACCTGAGATCTTTGCTCTGGATCCATGCCTTACAAGTCCACTTATAATCCAGCGATTCATACAAGACAATTATTACCGGAAAATACATTTTATTCAAAAATCTACAAGTTGATGTTTGTCCGAAATTCAACGGCCGCAAGACATAACGGTCAGAAAAACGCGCGAAGTTTCCCCGTATAGGTTTTTGCGAGGTGCGATTGATAGGAGGAAGTTGAGGGACACGCTCAAAATTCTTACCTGCACGCGATATAGACGGCGGCTGCGGTTAGGTACCGCAGAATTTCGCCACGGCGACGACGTCGACGGGAAGCGGTAACGGACCAGCACGGGCACCATGCAGCACTACCGGAACGGCCGCCACCACCGGCGGTACTACCGTCGTATCGTGATACGTCCGACGACAGAGAGACTACCAGTGCCGCCGCCAACGGCATCAACGACAACGACCACGCTCACGTTCGGTCTGTTCCGCCGCCACCGCGCCATACAACGACACCACTTCGCTTCGGTCCGATCTCCGATGCCGCGCGTTTCAGACGCGTGTTGTCGTCTCGGCCGGCGCAACGACGGAATCGATGCTGTCCGACCGCGCGCCGTAGTCCCGCGTGTAGTAGGCCCGTCGCCGAATTGGCTCTTCGCGAGTTTGCACGCACGCACGCACCGCAGCGACCGCTCGCATCCGCCACCCCCCCGTAACCGCGGCCGACTCCACACCGTCCCACACGCGAAACGTATAAATCCGCCGCCGCCACCGCCGCCGCTACGCGTTTATCCTCCATAACGATTGTCAACGATCACGCGGACGCGAGCGCGCGCGCGCGAACCTCGCATGCGTCCTGTTCCCCTCCAGTAAAAACAATACGTTCACCGCCGCGGACTCCGGTTACTACAGACATGGGCGAGGGGGTTGCCGGAAATTTATGACCTACGCCTGATGGAAATATCGCATTTTATTTGGACACTCGTTTTTGCGGGGGGAACGGGGTCTCGGACGACGTATTAAACGTCACACACTTCGCACGTTCCCGCTTAAACATCGCCGATAATGTCAGATACGGACGGCCAGTAAAATAATGCGACCGTAGCGAGTTCCCGGAATGATTCCCACGTATAATCGTGTTCGATTTTGCATGGTGGTGACAGCACTGACGGCGATATTTAAAAAAAAAAACTCACAAAGACCAAATTTGAGACAGTGATAGCCCGCATAAGCGATCCTGGCACGTTTATTTTGTAACTGAAAATCAATGATAAGAGATGACCGTCGAACTACCAAAACGAAATGATGTTAACACCAGAAACCTCAGCTCAGTTCGGCCATAGATTACAAAAATATTTTGATAATTTATCTATGGATTTTAACATGATTTCAATGTTATTAACTACTTCACGTTAAACAAAATTTCAAAATAACTGTAAAAACACTAAAAGAAAATAAAAATGCACACACATAAATTTTGCGGCCTACAGGTACGCTACTGCGTATACTACCAGTATAAAGTGTAGTGCGGTTACAGGGATGACTGCAGTTCGAACAGGGGAGACGTCTCATATATAAGAAAAAAACAACCTATAATGGATTACTGCAGGTTGTATACATATAAACATTTCTGTAACAGTGCAGTAACGGCGGAGAAATGGTGGACAATGCCCGAAGTGGCATTTCGCATTGACGCGAAAGACAATTTGTGCAAATCAGATTTAAGAGACAATATTATACAAAGGATATATATATATTTCAGTACTATTAAAATAAAATGACACAACTGCAGTATTAATAACATTATAGATATTTTATTACAGTATATATTAAACGAGAACAGTTGCAGCGGGTAAAGCAGTAAAAACAGAGAGAATTGATTGAACTTGTTCAGAGAAAGAGAAATGAAAACGACAAGATAAGTGCGTGGACGGATTTCGGACAAGAGGCAGGCAGATTAGATAAAGTGACTAAAGTTTATAAAAGAGAGTTTAATGGCATGTGGAGTAGATGTGGAAATGTTGATGATAAAAAAAAGATGTCGTAGGAGGTGACAATAAAAGTAACAGTGCTGAATGATTTATAGAAAGAGGTTGTTTAGTCGAGGAACTAAATTTTACAAAAACAGTACAATTAATAATCCCACGCATAAATCAATAATACCACAGAATTACGAAATATTAAAATTATAGGTACCTATTAATACTAATATTTTATTAATCTTTAATAATTATTTATATTTCTGTACGTGTTATGTCTATATATCAGAGGTTCCCAAAGTATGGGTCACGACCCAAAAGTGGGTCTTGATTATATTTTTAGTGGATCGAGTTATATTTTCAAATAGTACAGATTTTAGATTCCGAGTGTAACGAGGAATATATTAGTTTTACAATGATGCTTATTTTTTTTTTCTATCCGTAAACAACTATTCTACCAAAAATCTTGCTCCGATTTACAAGCACTTTGTAGCACTTTTTCTGAAATGAAATCGGACTGCAGGGGTACTTTAAGGAGGTTTTTTTTTTGATTTTCCCAAAAGTTTTCTCAATATATTGTACAAGCAGGAAAAAAAAATGACGAAAAACGGCAAAATGTACGAAATGTAGATATTAGTTAAAAAATATTACAGCTTTTTTTTCCTGTGAACAAATTTTCTACCAGCAAATTGGATTTATCCTTGTAAATGAGAGTATGCCACTGAACAAACTTCATGAATCATCCAGAAATGAAAAATCAACCAAAAAAAAAATGGTCATTAATGTTATTGTGGGTCGCCAAAATTATTCCCAAAATGAGTCGCATCATACAAATTTTGGGAACCTCTGCTATATATTATAACAATATTGATAATAACTAATATGAATGTTATCTGTGATTAGGATTTAAGTCAGTAAAAAAATGATTAGAATTTGAAAACTGCCTAAGTGACAAATATCGCGAGACATCATAATTATAATACACTTTGTTGTATACAGAGTCAGCTAACTAGCTTTTATAAATTTGATCTCAGGAACAAAGGACTAAAATCAATTGTTGGTATATTTTAAAAATAATTTTGTTATATGAAATTTTTAGAATAAAAGGCATAGGTGCAATATGAATATTCTTATACGTCATGTTGTAGTGAATACTAAAATATTTTATATTAATATAACGCACTTTTGTTCGCGAAAAAAAAAACGTGGCATATGATATAAATATAATTCATATAAATATGTAATTTTCTCTTGTAGAAATTTTGAACATTCAATTTACTTGTATTTAAAACCATACAAAATTGACTTGAGCCCTTCTTCTCAGGGACCAAAGATGTAATATATTTGTCTGAGAAGTGGCAGGGCCTGATTTAATGGAAGGCATTGTTCGATTGAATGACGGTTGATTACAAAAATTTTCCGAGAACTAGAATGAATCAAAACTGCCTATCAATATGTAACCGCTTACTCAGCATTGTGTGCGATTTACTCCCGGAGGTGGGTTTCACTAAAATAATCAAAGATCTCGTCGAAAAAAGCTCGCAAGGCACCATTCGTTAACGTCATTATCTTAATTTGGTTTGTTTCTTGTATTTTATTGTATTTTGTAATTTCATTATTTTCTCTTGCCGTACATTATTGAAATTATCGAAAGGGAAAAATTACTTAAAGAAACGACTAGGGGTCTCCGCTTTTTTGCCACCCAAAAACTTCCATGCTTTTAAATGCGGCCTTGTGAGATAGACAAAAGCCCCATTGGGGGAAAAAGGGAGAGACACGTCCCTCTGGAAAGTAATAAAGTATGCGAAAATAATTATATATGCTTTGAATCCATATACTTGTTTCATATTTAATACCATACTTGATAGTTCAACAGTTGATATCATATTATATTAAGTATAGTGTATCCCACGATTTAAGATGGTAATATCTTAAATCGCGATATACACTAAGTATGGATACTACAGACTTTTGCTTAATGCTTATCACTTAATCAGCGAACCAGTGTTGCCAGGTTATATATTTTATTTGCATACACTGATCTCAAAGTGCATACACAAATCATAATATGAAATGACCTAAGAATAGATATATATGCCCTATGATAAGTGATGACAGTAATAGTGATTTTTATTATTTTATTACAATATTATAATGTAATGTACAGATTTCAGCAATTAACAGTTTTTTTCTTTTTAAAGCTAATCTTTACATAATTACATAATCTTTCTTCCTCGTTCCTTTTCAAGAACTGCCAATACCTAGTAACTGCATCTACATGCTATAAATTGGTTTTGGAATCATTAATTAATTTGATTTAATTTTGTATATCCCGCCCCTTGCAAACCACTTTTTGGGCGCGCCCGTGGAGATGGACTATACACCACCACCACCACCCTCCCCTCCCGTATTCGGGTGCATCGTGCATTAAAATATCGTCTCCAATACGAGTCGTTCGGCGCGACCGATAGAAACGCACCGTTAAAGACCGCTACGCAGCCGTGCACCTATATTGCCTATAAAACGCGCCGCAGGAAACGGACTGGCGATGGCGGCCGGCGGCGGCGCGGCGGTGAGTTATCGCGCAGAGTAGTTAATGTCGTTATATTAGTGCATCACTCGTATTATTTTATGACCGTCGATAGCGCCGCAGTATTTGGTTAGTGTAATTTGGCGCCCCCGGTTGATTACGTCATGCACCCTTCCCGCGGTCGCGTTTGTATTTTTTAAATTTGCCATGCACGATTTCGACGACGAAAACCGACAGCAAAACGACGGCGGTCGGAAATATTTTTTAGTTATCATTCGGATCCTATATTACAATACGCGGATAAAATCGTTCGGTCGAACCGAAATGCTTGAGGATTTAACGCGAGGTTCATTAAAGGTTGTATTTGGTAGTGGGCCCGCGGCGTCGTAGTCGTTCGTAATACTCGACAGTCGATTGTCTTCAAATAATCGATAAACCATTTCTAACGAAAAACGATTCTGTACGAAGTTACATGACTCGGAAAACCGTAATATTTTCGTATATTCGATTTTTACGATTATGGAAACAAAAAAAAACATCACTATATTACGATCAACTTTTAGATTTGAAGCGGAGCGATGGATGATATCAGTTTGAAGAAGTTATAAGGGATGATATAACATAGTGTTTTATTCTCCTTAACAACAAGAGACCATATTTTTGTTGAATTTTTTTTTTTAATAAGAGTTTTACATCAAATTTAAACAAAAATCGTAAAAAAAAATTACTGCACTTCAAATTATGTATTACTGAACTACGCTCGGAATCGTCTTTCGTCAAACAATGGTTTATCGTTGCTTACAGATATAAATGAAATAACCTTATATATCACCTTATACCTTCCCAATTTCTCACCTACAATAGTGGCCGCTCTTATCCCCAGTATCAGATTTTTTTTTACTATTATTTATAAGTGGTTTAAGATTAAATTCTGATGAAAATCTATTTAGCTGAATTGCATTATCAGTGTTTTATCAGTTTTCCTATTAAATTATACCAATACAAACTAACATACGAATTAACTTGGTGTACATTTATATATGTACGTTATTATAATTAAAGTTGAAAATTATTGCATTCTCTTGAATTATACACTTTTTGAAAAAAAATTATAATATCTCAAGTAGCATTAAATTTCTATCATTTTCTATAAAAAAAATAAAAATCCGTCTCCGTTAGTAATTCTCCTGATTTTTGGTATAATTTAATTTGTAAAATAAATCACAACCCACTTGAATGAAATGAATAAATTACCTCAGATAACATTTTATCCGAAACTCGGATAGGTACTAAATTTTATATTATAGTTATACAAATCGTCAATAATTATTTTGTATTTTTTTAAACAAAAAAACACTTAGTATTATTAACACTTGTTACATTTAGAAAAAATAAAAATCTAAAATATTCCGATAAAGTGCAAAAATCCAATTAAATCTGTTTTTTTCAATTAAATTAATCTTATTAACTCTGTATGAGAATATAGGTACGAAAATATGCAAAATAAAATTTCACATAGGAATTTTTTTACAGTAAAAAAAAAAAAACTCTTCTTGGTACTTATATAAACATAAAACAAGCCATACTTGTACCAGCCCATAATAAAAAAAAATATAAATATCTGCCTTACCGATATTATAAACTAGAGGTATTTATGTGAGTATGTATGTAAATAGTTATAGGGTGCGTATGTTTACACACTCTACAACTATTTATACATATACCTATATTAAACCCGTGCCAGGTTGAATAAACGATCAATAACTAGTTATCGAACCGATTGCAATGTTATTCGATAAAATGATTTTTGCTGTACAGAAATTACTTTTATCTTTTATCCACTCGACAAATAACATTTTAACAGATCGACAATTTGAAGGCCCAATTCGGGTTCGATAAATATTAAATACAGTTTCAAAACTTTATTAAATTGATGATATTTATTTTTCAGTTTTCACAATTTTTTTTTTTTTTTAATCATACAAATTTTGACACAAGACGTTAATACATGATTGCGTGGTAAAACATGTTTTGCTTATAATCGCGATAATGACTGAATTGTTCATTGTATATTGAAATTGTATAGGATAGAACCACAAACCACAGTAAATTGGTATAGAAAGGTTTACGCAACTGTGCATGATTTTTGGGGCGCAAAAAAGTTACCAATGATTAATCTATACGATATCATAGATTATTATCGAATTATTTTTATAGGTCGTGTATGCGACCTGGCATAGCTTTATAAGCTTTGGCCGTATGCAGTTTAATATACATCGCGGATTTCTGTGATTGGAATACAATTTATACATAGATATATTATCATAGATATAATACGCTCGTCGTCCACGTTACCAAGGTAATTCATAATTTGACTTTCGCATTGGGTAATTAAACATAATTATGTATAATTATGGAATTCACACAAATTACTAAATATCTCTTAATGAAACCCTTTTGAAGTCGAATTTTAATAAACGTTTCCTATCGGTCGCTTACATTGTATATGAAGAACTTCCGTGCAAAATATCCAGTTTTCATAGACGGTTCATCGTTGTTCATCGTTAAATTAAAAAATGTAATATTTGTTTTGAATGTATACATGGTTGGTTATACTAACTACCTAAAAACGAAAAATTGGCCCCCCGAGAAATTATTGCCTGTTAGTTTCCTGTTAGGCAGTTTCCTAAGTACGGCAGTAAACGATGAAGTCGGTGATACACATTATACTTGTATACCTGTAAATTGTGCATTCCATTTCCACTCCAAAACGACATGCGAGGATTGCCGTCGTATATTATATTATTATGTAGTGAAGTTTCGCGGGCAATTTCGTCCAGAGTCACGGAAAACAAATTAAAGAGCAATCGTTTTAATGGCAATCCTTTCATTAAACTCGCTGAGATTACATTATCTCGGCACACCGTGTGCGAAATCAAATCAACGCAAACTCGTATAATCGTACTGTTGTCATTCTTTCCGTGGAATTCCGACCGAACCATTAAGCGCGCAGTCTACCAAATACTTCAATTATTATTTAGCACTGCTAGCAGCGGCGGTATAAATAAGATGATTAAAATAATCGTCTCTGCTGGTTTCAAAGTGAAGAAAATGTCTAGCGGGGTTATGTCTAGCTTAAAATTTTAAATTTAAAAAAAAAACAAAAAGAACAAGTACCTAAATGAACAAGTTTAAAAGGTTAATATTAAGGTCAAGATTTTCTTAATTTTACTGTAGTAGCCAGGATTTTTTTATTGGGGGGAGGGATAAGTCATTTAAATCATCTATGATAGTGTTTCCATAAGTATATATATTTTAAACAAAAATGTATGAAATAAATTAATAATAAAACGAGAATATAACATATGTGTTATGTATATCTTGACATATGAAGGGTGCAGGAAAAAAAACCGATATTGATATCAAACAAATGTTATTATTATACGTGAACTGTATCGATCGAGCCTGCGAAAAAACCAGATTAGTTAACAGTAATGAGCGCCAAAAGTTTAGGCCTGCGGGAAAAAAAAACAGGGAAGTCAATTAATAACCAGACAAGTGTTGGATCAATACACGACTATAATAGCCGTGGTTAATAATATAATATGGCATTACTGTGAATGTTTTGTTTTATACACTATTTTACTGTAAAAGCCGTTTGGGCGTCAATTAGTAATAATAATAATAATAAAATAACTATTATGCTGTAATTACCACATTTCAAAGTTTAACATTTAATTTATTCCAAACTCTTTACTTTATAAAAAAAATATTGTTACTCTTTGTAATTCAAAACATGTTTTTTCCAGATTGCAAAAAGTGACTTTTCTGGTTTTTCCGTGTATAATTCCATCCATAATTTTATAATTTTTATTAATGTTTTCTTTTATATTTGTATTAACAATAGCTAACTTATTGAATCTAATGCTCCTTCGGTGGTTCAGTTTAGAAAATATTCTTTCAGTATTTAGAGGAAAAAATAACTAGATTCAGGATTCAGGGATGAATTTAAAGGTGTGTATTACCTTATACAAATAAGGTTTAGTTCCCTCTACTTAAGTCCCAAGAAATATTTCACACCATAAATAACCAAATAGAATAGAATAATAATATAAAACAATATTTATTGTTAATGGCAATATAATATGTTGCCAGTTATTATTTTGTCAATTTATAACAATATTTATTTTATATTTAAATACAATCAGTACATTAAATACTAAGTATTAAATTCATAAAGTGATTATAATAAAATTGTATTCATAATCTTAATTTTCTTAATATTTCAGCAAATTCATCAAGTGTGTTTTATTAAACATAAATAAATATATTTAAATCTTTTAGAATGTCCTCTTCAATGTTCAATAATGCCAATCTATCAAAACAATGATATTCCGTAGACGATCTAAGCCATATTTAATCCTTTGCATAGCTGAAAAGGATCATTCACAAGTAACAGTAGTAAAAAAGAGTATTAGTGTTACTTTTAACAGATTTTCAAATTTGGTAATACTTACTCATATAAAACTATTATTAATTCATCGAGTTCCCATGTTTCTTTTGGTAAACAATTTTTCGCTGCTTTCATTTCTGATTTTAATAATTTGGAATTAATATTAAGTAATGACTAGTAGTGATGAATAAAAAGGTCAGAATAAATAGTATTTAATTTTAAAAGATTATTAATGACATTTGTCAAAAATAAATGTTCACTTAAAAATCTTTTATTTAATTCTAATTTATAGTGTTGAGTACCTCATAATACGAGTGTCTTCGCCAAAACTATTCTAATTTTGAATATACTGCATCAATACTATTTGTTTCAGTTGTAGAAATAAAAATCTTATCATTAAGTAAAATATGTTCAAAAGTATTCATAAATTTTTTTTAGAGTTGATCGGTACATCAATATTTACTTCAAATCTTTTAGAATATTCTAATATTTCATCCCATAAACATTTAAATTATTCTTCATTTCGATTGTCTTCTAATTTGTTTATTTAATTTAAATGAACGTAAGTCCAATAACACATCACTTATTAAGAGAAATGTCAATTTACTCTTAAATCCACTTAAATGATTCACAAATAAATCAACATTGTACATATTAGCCCTTTTTTAACAATATGATAAATCAGAAAATTAGACATTAAATTTGTTGTTGCTACAAGCAAATAAAATAATCCAACACATCTTAAATTCAATCATGGACAATAATTAAGGGCTATCAATCAAATTGTTAAGTAGTAAAAAAAATTAAGTCCACTAGCTTTCTTCTAGCTTCTAAATAAATTTAAAAATTTAAGTAATGATATATTTAGTGAATGTGGTTCTCTATGTATTTTACAGTTAATGAAAATAAACCGTATAAATCTATTTTGAATAGCCTCTATTTCTTTAATTAAACCTAATTGACAAGGAGACCAAAGGATGGAATTATAACCCGAACAGGAATTAACTAGTGAGCAATATAATGATTGTTTTGATGCTTTATTGATCATTTTCGAAATATTATGTAAATTAATAATATTATATTTGTATAATATTAAATTAATATAAATAATATAATTACATAATATTGGCGAAATGGGACATTTTGACTTGACGGTTTTGACGTGATCTTTTTGCCATGAAGCTTTTTAGACGAAAACATATAAGTTTCAAATTAAATTAAGTATTTAATTTAACTATACACATATAAATTATAGCAGTATCATCGGTTTTTCGAGATATGCACTTATTAACGTTCATCGTTTCTTTTATATTGCCCGATAAGTTTATCATTGTTTATCACTTGTTGTCTCTCAATTTCGTCGCTCACGACAGTTGTTGTTTTAATTTTAACCGTGAGTTTTATATTTATTAATTATGTCGAAATTAATTAAATCTACACAAGAATGAGCCAAATTTCAGTCATTGCGAACGACTTTGAATTTATAGAATGATTTTTGTTGATAGCACTATCGTAACAAAAACTATAAAAATGCTTTACAAAAATTAATAAAATAACCTAAAAACTAAAAATTCTCAAAAGTTGCCAAAAAATGCAAAATAAATTTTCTTATTCTCATTCAAAAGCACACTGTACGGATTTATAACCGAACAAACATTGCACAGCAACCTTGGAAAAAATACAAAGTGCATTGAAATCCCTGCCTAATTATAAATAACTATTAAAATAAAATAAAATTTTTTTTTTTTTAAATATTTATTAATGTTGTTATAGAAATGCAATATTGTGGTACATTAATGAAATGTTAACAATTTTTGGTATTATTTGTAAAATAATGTTTAATATTTTATTTTACATTGGTCCTTAAATTAATATAATTAATATATAATATATATATATATATATATATATATATATATATATTAATATATATTAATATATTAATATATATAATTAATAATTAATATTCTCATTTACTTTCATAAAATATAAAACTAAAAATATCTTTTTATTAATAACAACAGTTTAAAATAATAATTAATATTTATATAATTTCCTATTTAAAGCCCTTGTACAAAATAAATGACAATGTTATAATTTATAATATAGATGAAACAAAAATTAGCCTAATAAATCATATCAATTGACAAAACAGTCAAAAGATAGTTTATACATAAACAAATATATACACAATATTAGAGAATTCATAATATTAAGTCCATTAACAACTTTTTATTAATTTAACTTTTTAACTTCTATGATTAAATATCAATACAATTTAAGATCCCTATCAATGAAAATCACAGTTGAAATAATGTTATATAGCACGAATATTTAGTGTTTTTATTAAATACCGAAAAGGTAGAAGTATCAAAACATAATTTATAGGTTAATAAAAAAAACAAAATAATTCAATGGACTTAAATCAATGTATCCTTTGAGATAACCATATAACTTATATTATAAATTCTTAAATATGAATAATCATAGTAATATTATTGATTTAATTTTTTTAATTGTAATTAATTTTTTAAAAAAATAATAATAATAAATATTAAGTGGTTTCTATCAAAAAGTAGAATTAGAAATCCTTTGATCCATCTAGTAAGTTGTATTTAATCTAGGCATAAAATAATATTTTAATCTTCAAATAAGAATAAATAAAAATACACAAAATTATACATTAAATAAAATAAGTACCTGATTTCAGAATAATGACTATATTGAATATCATAATATTTATTTATTAACATAAAAACTTAAAATATTAAGGAATAAGCATTTGAACAATTTTAAATTAATTAAAAATTTACCATAGAGAATAATCAGTGTCTTCTGGATAAAGTGTTAAGAAAAATCCTATTAATGTTAAATATACAACTATATTTCCACACATAGTAAAATTAGCAGCAGTCCATGTAATCTAAAAAAAAATAAATAAAAATAAAGCCGTTTTGAAAAGTTTCAATAAGAAACTCAAAATAGAAAATTAAATAAATTATTAGTAACAAAATGATCCATTTAAGTGGGTACACTCATTATCTCGGAAAGTATTTACTTTTTTTGGAATGTTTCATACAACATTTAAGAAACAAGAAACTTTACAATTTTACTTTTGTTACCCTTATTTTTTGCGGTAAAACAACTATCTACTTTTGATTTTCAAAGGGCAACCTATAGTAAAATATCCATAAATAGATGAAGTAATAGTTAAAATAAATTTTGGTGTAAAAATTTTTGATTTCTGTCAACCCATTGACAAGATATTCCACTTTTAAGTTTTGGTTAGAGGAGAGTAGTAGTACATTATTAACATGCTGCACATCATACTGTCACACAAATGATGCTCCACTACTCTGCCCCGACCAAAACTTAAAAGTGGAATATCTCATCAGAGTTGACGGAAATCAAAAATTTCAAAACCAAAATGTATTTAAAATAATACTTTATCTATTTATGGTATTTTTAATCTAGATTGCCATTTAAAAATCAAAAGTAGGTAGTGGTTTTACTGCCAAAAATAAGGGTAAAAAAAAATTAAATACAGTAAGTTCCTGTTACAACAAACTCCAAGGGACCAATTTTTTTTTTTGTTATAACGGAAATTCAAATAAAAAATATTTAAAAACATTATGTTTTTCAAATACAAATAAATAATTCAAATGTAAATAATTTGCGAAAATAACTTTATTACAGATAATAAACAATTTTTTTTTAACAAGGTTTGCTGTTTTAATAAAAAGTAAATAATATTGTAGTTGGTTAATATTTGTAAACATGAAGTCCGGTACATCACTTTGTGATGAAATGAATGTTCGCATAACTTCCAAACTTGATAAGGCTTCTGATGAAGTGACATTGCGCACATCATCTCCCATCACAGCTTCTTTATCTTCACTACTTTCATCAATGACCTCATCTTTACTGTCTTAAATGGATTGAATGATATCTACTTCAGTTAGTTTATAACATATTCAAACAATGTCATCTGCACTAAGATAATCTTCTAAATTTACATTGTCAGGAAGCGACGTCTTCTTTTTCGCAGTGATCCAAATTTGCTCTAACTCAGATTGTTGGGTGTCGTGCATATTTGATTCATCATATTCAGCCACTTCTGAAACCGAATTGGCGTCTTTGGTTGTCGTTGCATGTTTCCAACAAATAGTTATCGTTGATTGACTGATATCATCCCAAGCTCCGCATATCCATTTGATAGCTTCCTTCACATTGCATTTTCTTTGGATATTTTTCTCCAAATCGCATAAAATTTGATGTAACAAAAAAGTTCTGTAGCGTGATTTTATAACTCTGATGATACCTTGGTCAAGAGGTTGAAGTACAGCTGTGCAGTTAGGTGAGAAATATTCCACACAAATGTTATCCAATTTTGGTAGTTCATTATTTGGAGCACAGTTGTGATAGAGATATGCCATACTTTTTTGCCACCTCGCCTTTCTTCAATCCTTTGTCTACTTCAGAAATTATGTTTTTCTTCTCTTCCAATGAAAATTGCTTTCTTTTCACAGTAGGACCCATCACGTACATATGTACAATAAAGAACGAACGTAAAATATGAAAAATGACAAATGTATGAGCTTTATGAAAATATACACCCGACTGATTATGTTGCGTTATTGATTGACGCGGAATAACATGGTCACACATAATGGCAATTTAATGACTTTAAAATTGCATTAAATTGTGTTCTTGTTATCTTTAAATTAAATTTTACGAAGGGAAAATATATTTTAACCTGTAAAAATAGTTCGTTGTATCGGGATTTTTAAAAATTAATCATTTCGTTATATTGAGATTCATTTAACATTGTTAAAATAGCTTTTTGGTTGGGGACTTCTATGACTTTTGTTATAACGGGATTTTTTGTTGTAACGGGAACTTACTGTACATGTAAAATCGTAGAGCTACTTTTTTTTAAATGTTCTATAAAACAAATCATGAAAAAAATTAACACATTCCAAGATAACAAGTGTATCCACTTAAATGCATCACTTTGTATTTACAAAAGGATAAAATATAGTCATTTAAAACAATAAACACTCACAGTGTGAACTCTAGCCATTATTATTGGTAATGCAAATGATGAGACCACGATGCACATTGTAATAAACACAGCCAGTTCCATATTAGCATTACCAGCTCCTGAGTAATCATTGTACCGTTTCATCAACATAGAAGGCAATGGGGCCAAGAGATAAAATACTACCACTATAAATGGCCACCAAGAACTAAAAAAAAAAAAATAATATATACAATAGCATTTTCTTTAATATTATTATACATTTATACAAATATAAATGAACTTTAAATCTAGACTTACTTTACATTAGGCAATGCACATGCTAATATCACTAATGTCATACCAATGGAACCAGCAAAAGCCAAAATCATCAACCTGTAAT